TTTTTTAAAATGTGCCGTGGTTGGTTGTTGCGCTTCTCCAACCCATGGGACATTCCAGTGCAAGCACGCTTCAAGTTCTGCTGGGCTGTCCATCTCAAGTTCTCAACATTGCAATGATGTTCATCAGCCCATGGTCGGTCCAGGTCGGGGCCACAGCTCGCCCGCTCCGATTTGCTTGTCCACGCTAGATCGTCTGCGATCCTTCCTTCCAGTCCCACTTCCCGCCTGGCCTTGCGTGCCTGCCTTTGAACTTTCAGTTTGGGGCACTGTTCTCGTGTTCCATCCATAGCACCTCCCTATTTAGGCAACGCCCTGCTCCTTCCCGGTCCAGGTCAGCCGCGACCACGGTGGCCTCATGCCCGCAATGACCCCGTGCCCGTCCTTGTGGTATCGGTCGATGTCCCCAATCAGCATAAGCAGGCTCAAACTTGGGAGTGGTGGTGGTGATGGCTGCCCAAGTTCGTTATCATTCGCCTGGGGCCTGGAGACGGGTCCAGCCGACACCCGGTGCTAGCTTCTCTATCATATTCTTATTGAAGAGGTGGAAATCGAATTCTCGTAGGTCCAGGACTCCAAGTTGGATACCGGGATCCGCTGCAAAAATTCGGAGTCGCATTCTTGTCGCCGGCATCCACAATCCACATGTAACAGCCAGGTGGTGTGGGGTATGAAGAGTCGGCGTTCAGCATGGCGAGTCCCAACTCCCCTGTCCCTGCCACGGATGATGCGAGCAGCGAGTGGGAACCTGGCGGATCTGCGCGTCAACTGCCTAAGTAAGACCCCACGATTACCCAAGTCCGGCAAGGGCCTTGACTCCAGCTTCTTGATGACCATTGATTCACACGCCTTGATCAATCGAACTTGGATCTGATGACCAGATGGATGCTCTGAGCAGATCCTTCCACGAGCGCTCCGTCGTGCGCATCTACGAAGGATCAGGAAAACTCGCTCTGTCGGGTAAGAGCCCCAGAAGTGAAGATTACGACTAATCCTGGAACAATGAGCTCGAATTTCGACGTATAAAACATAAAACACGGATTTTCCTAGTACGAGCTCAGTCATGGGTATGGCGGTGCTTGGATTCCGGCCCAGGTTCTTTGTCCGTCGATCCTCCTTAGGCTGGTGGGGAGCTCAGCCAGAAATGACGAATTTTGGTGCCTGGCAGTGGCATGGTGGCATTATGGCATTATTATTGGAGTGGAATTATGCAACGCTGTTCGAACTTCGCAGCCAGGTCACACCAACGCTCGAAATTTTGTGGCGAAGGCGAGCGGATGAAACAGCTGAGGCTGGATACGACTTACGGGCCCATGACTCCATAATCCCCATTGGAAAAAGCTGCCTCGTGGCGGTGGGCTGCCGAATTTATTTCCAGCAATTTTTGGTCCGCAGTAGTGTGACAAAGTCCAATGCTTGGCTACTTTTCGAAAAGTCTTTGCTTTTCTTCAGCTTTCTGTTTGCAGTCGAGCCGACAGGCGTCGAGTTCAAAGCTTAGCAGCTGTGGCCCCTCACTGGTTGTAAATGCACAATGGATGCGACAGGACGAGAGTATATCCTTTGGTTCCGCAAAAGTATACTGTGTGGACGGGAATGCCTCAACCCGCGGTCAAGCTCAACTAGGAAACAGACACAACTCTGGGACTCTGAATCAACGACGAGGCTGTGAGGCTTCGTTTGGGGCCGCCAAGAACAATCTATCATGTTCGGTTTGTGTCCAATGTGTGCTGAATCTTCCCGTAAACGTGCCGAATTGCAGGGTTGGTGAGATCCTCCAACTTTGGTTGTCGCGCAGCCCCCGTGTGACAAGAGTAGCCGCTGAGGAGTGGCCTTATAAACACCCAGGTAGAACGTAGAAGTATCAGTATCGGTAGATGACGCAAGCATCGGTAGACGAAAAGCTATACGCAGGACCTGACAGTCATTTCACACTCTTCAAAACTACTTCATGACCCGAACCTTTAATGGCATTGGTAGACCACGCGTTGGGAGCTTTTGATACGGAAACTGGAGCCACCATCCTTTCCACCTTTCATTTCGGTCATAGTTTGGTGGGAAGGTAAAAAAGAAAAACTTATCTGAAAATTTTATATCCTTCAAAGGGGAGGGGAAAAGAAAGAAAGAGAACTTACTTCCGCCCTTGTCTTTCCCTTGCGCGCCTGTCATCATCATCATCACAACCACCAAGCCCTTCATTTATTGTTTTATCTTCTGCTGCGAAACTGCATTTCTCCGTCCAGACACACCTACTCTGTGAGATACAGTCTACTTACTGTTCATTCTGGCCCTTTTTTCCCGAAGAACCACTCCCTTCTTCCACTTATACTCTGCGCTCGTTTCGCAGGTGCAGTCCCGGCATCCTGGATTCTTCTCATACTCGAGCCTTCCCGAGTATTGGCCTCGCAGCACCAGCGCTTCCTCGTCTACTGTGGAGTGTTAAAAAGACTACTCTTTAACTGCTCTTCTAATCCTCCCCTCCATTCTCAGCTTTGAACTCGGGCGAGACGTCGAGAAGACGGTATTCGTTACGGCGGAGTGACGCGACAGTGTGACCACTGGACCGACTAGAGTCACAGTGATCCTTCTGCAATCTCGCTCCCCTCCCACGTTCCTCGCTGCAACTTTCTCTTAGTCGTGCACTACTCGAGTCGTCCCCTTGCTGGCGCCCGCTCCCCACAGCCTCAGTCTGGCTGGTCTCTCGGAGTCTTTGCCCTAAAAGTTGCCCCTGCCCAATTGTTCGTCCTTCTAGATCTCGTGCCACGTTCTGTTCCGAAACGTTTGCACTAAAGGTAAGCGACCCGCTCTCTGCAAACCAAGCGCCCTAGATCTCGAGATGATCCCTGGTCTCATTTCATCCCGCTCGATTTCACAATATTAGTCGGGCTAATCTGAACGTGGTCTTGACTCAAACAGATTTTTTTAATTTTGACATCCCCCACCCGCCTTTCCTTCCGCCCTCGCCGCCCGTGAGCTCGCTTCGTTTTTTGTTCCGTCGTATTATTACCACGACCCGCCCTCCGCTTTCCAACCACCATCGCCGACTGTCCGCTCCTTCACGCTCTCTCCCTTCCCTTGCAGATTTCGACTCCCTCGGCTGTTCCTTATCGCTCTTCATTCCTCGCTGCGGAATATCCGAAGTCTTTCCAGTGATTTGCGACCCGCAATTCCCCGTCCGTCTACATTGACCTCCGCGGTCTGCAGGAAGGGTTACCTCTCGAGGCGCATCCCATCCCAAGATAGCGATCCTTTCAAAGAAGGAATTCTAGCTCGAATTTCGAAGAAGAATCATATTACCCCCCCGCATTTACAGAAACGAGCACCGCCCAGTGATAGAATATACCCACGCGGCCCCTGCTCGACTCCCGAAGACCCACGCATACGCGAAAGTGATACCACGCTACAATTTCTCCCTTCGAGATCGCAACGAGAAGAGATCGGTGGCCACCAACCTGAGACTCGCAATTCGAATCGTTGGAACATGAAATAGCGCATTCGCTTCGGAAGCTTTCGACCTGACCTTTTTCGACATCGCTCATTTACCCATCCTAGTGAAAATGGACTCAACACTGAATCACCGGCCATGGGCTCCATATACAGCTGGGCCACAAAACCCTTCAGTCACAGCTTCTTCGCAAACCCTTCCCTCGATTTCTACATTGACTGCCAACATTGGCCATACATCAGTTCCAGCAGAGAAGTCTCCAGGGAATGCATCTCTGAATACAATTGAACGTGACTCGGGGAATTGGTCAATGCCTCAAAGTACAAGTTTGTCTTCCTTATCTACCAGTGCGCATAGCCAGACTTGATTCTAACTAGTTGACTTTTTAGGATCCTCGACCTACTCTACGGCAACGAATGGGACTGGCCCTGCCCCTAACCAACCTACACTCAACTTCCTCACGACTTCGCATCCCTCCCCCCAGCGCAGTTCGTACGTATCTGATCGTTCTCCTTATCCCGGCGACCAGTCGCACACAACCACACCTCCCTCCGCTGGGGCGCAACCGTCTCCAAACTTTGTTTCTTCACAACCAACTTCAACGCTACCCTCTCTCAACCAAAACTACGACACACCCTCACACCGGAGTAGTGTCGCGGAGCCCGTTGAATCTCGGCGGAGCAGTGTTGACAGCAGGGTGAATCAAGGGATCAGCTCCCTGGCCATAAATAATCCCGCCTCTCCGTATCATAGCACGAATGCTTCTCAAACCTCGATTGTGTCGAGTTTGCAAAGAGAGCGCGGGATATCCACAGATACCAATGCATACCGAGGACCCCGTTACTCAGGAGCTTCACCTCTATCCCCGTTGTCATCGCGAGAGCAGCGCCCTGCGGCTGGCCGCACTGCACCCGCTATCTCGTCAAACCCTCGATCCGAAATTTACAATGCCGAGGCTCCTACTGCTGGTCTCGCCTATGCTTTCCCTGATCCAGACGTCTCGACGCGTGGAGATTCTCTTGAACAGAGCTCCTTTTCTAGGAGACCGAGCGCTACCGAATCTATGTCTAGTATGTACTCTGATTCTCGGCTACCTCAAGGCCAACATGGTATGTAACAAATATAATTCAACCTGCGAAATGCCGACGCAAACTAACTAGTTTTAGAACTACCTCAAAGCATACACCATCACAGTTTACAGCATAGACAAGTCCGTGGTCTCATCGGAGAAGCAGATCCAAACTCTGGCGCCACCCCTTACAGCAGGACACCCGAGCTTAGGGTCACACACAAGCTGGCAGAAAGAAAGCGTCGCAGTGAGATGAAAGATTGCTTCGAGTCATTGCGAGTTCGTCTCCCTTCGGGTCAGAACAATAAGTCTAGCAAATGGGAGACATTGACAAGAGGTATGCCCAAGGTTATTGGCCGTATAGATCTGAATAGAAACTAATGCTTTGATAGCCATTGAATATATTACGCAGTTGGAGGGGTCACTTTCGTCGGCTCACAGGGAGATAGACATGATGCGCCGCGAAATAGACGATCTGAGGCGCAATCCACAACAATCAAATGGTCAACATCGACCACCGACTATTTTCGAGAACCAACAAATGCCCGCGCCAACGAATGGCCAAACACATGGGCCAGTGTTTTCTGGTTATAATGGGGGGCCGGGAATGGGACAAGAACAGCCGCGTACTTTACCCCCGCTCATCAACGGCTCTGCTGCACCAATGCAAGGCGTGCAGTACACTGATGACCACCGGTAACTGGTAGTAGCTGAGGCCACCGGCGCCCACTCCTGCACACCATCCGATGTCTACGCAAACGACAACACCGAGTGTATGGACCTATTTTTATTTATTTGTTTCCCCCTTGGATATAATGGGAGGCATTTCCAAGACTAGAAGAGCCGCCTCCTTGCCTTCCATAAGAAGCCACCCTGTATCGACTCAGACTGGAAAACGGCAATGGCCATCGGAAACTGGCCCGTGCGGTAGTTGAGGCCGCCGAAAATGCTCTACTCGAGACGCATATCCGATGATCATCTTTATGTCAACCGCATGGTTCGAATTGTTTATGAAATCGTCTTATCATTTTCTCTTCTTCCTACGTTATTTGTAGATTTGGAATGGGTGGCTCTTTTTGCTTTCTTTTTATTGCCCGTTCAAGCGACGGCATTTGCTTTGGCTGGTGTCACCATGCATCGTGCTATCGAATGGGCCACAGCTATTATATTACCCTCGCATAACGACATGGGATTGGTGTACTCTTGCATTGGGAAGGCATGTGTGAATCTGGAAATGGGAACCGACAGATATGGATGTGTTTGAGCTTTTCCTGGAGTTGGAATTCCGGAATTGGGCTGGTTTTGTTTGTATTCGTATAACTGTTTTCTATAAAAACCGTTGGTAGTGCGGCGCTAGAGCGACTCCTGACCTTCTAGTTCTAGGCACCGTCAAGATCCAAAATTATCACTTCCGCAAGAATAGAATCTTCAGAAATCGCAGGTCGTGACGATCGCAGTGAACAATAGAATTGAACAGTTGAAACGAGGCTGTGGCCAATGAGGAGGGCTCGGAACAAAAATAGCTCTTGGGAGCGCCAGCACGGCGCTTACAGAGCTCTGGAGCTGCTCTTGACAGCCAATCCGCGACTTCTTCGTCTCTGCTCTGCTTCTCTTGCAGTGCCCATCTTCAATTCTTGTCCAATGAATTGTCTTCAAGCCTTTCGTCCTCCCAGGGACCGTGTGTCCGCGAGATTTGAATCTGCACGCCCTGGCAGGACGTATCCACACAGTCTGGATCATGCTCTGGTGCTGGAGCTCTGGTTGAAGATGGATAACTCTGGTAAACAAAACCGGCGCTTACTGCTGCTTCCCAAGTTCCCTGCATCTTCTGTTTTTTCTCTTGGGATTTTGTCTGCGTTCTGTTCTTGTTTTGTCTCTTTGTGCTCACTTGTCTTTGCAAACTGCAACTCAGCCCACTATCTAGATCAACTTGCTACACTCTTTGCTTCACCTCAAACCTTCTCATGGCTCTTGAATGACAATAGTCGGTATTTTTGGGCTTCTATTGGGAGGATCGGCTTTTCGGTTGGCATTGTTCCATTGATTGTTGGTTCATTGCGTCTTTCTTTGAATCCATTCTCTTTCAATTGTTGCGTTTCGTCTTGCTGGCAGAGACGCTCTGGACCGTTTCAGTTGTTTCTTTGACTCGTATTGTCTCTTTATTCAATCACTAGCATTTGTGGGTGTCTCCATTTGACTGTTCCTTCCTCACCTTCGTGATCTGCGACTAACACATTTACCATGACGGATAGTAGTATCCAGTTTCGGAGGCTCAGGAGAAGAATGCGGCTAGCTTCAGGCCCAGAGAAGCAGAGGGCGCAACTTACAATACCAAAAGTGCCCAAATTCCCGTTATCGTCACCTATTACGGATGAGATTGCCAGTCCGACTACCACCACCTCGTCCTCCCCGGAGGATCGAGACATGGAAAGGAACCGGCCGTTCGAGTTCCTCTCGAAGATGTCTAGCAGGAACCCGTATGCTACCACTACTACTGCACCCGACAGGATCCGGAACTTTGAACAGGGCGTTATCTCCCATACAAACGAAGGGCGAGGGGAGGTTAGCTCGAACCCCTTTGCTGCGCCGAGGAATCCGGAAAGACCTGTAGGACTGAACTTGGATATTCCGACTTCTAACCCCCAACCACGCAAGGGCACGACCGGCGCCTTCGTGGATTTGAACGATCTAAAGGTGCTTTCGAAGACGCGGGAGGAAGAGAGGACGGCGCAGAAGCTAAAGGGTATTCTGAAGAAGGGGGATGCGAAGAAGGAAAAGGGCGATACCAGAGGGTTCCAGAGGTTGCTGGACGACCCGTTAGACTCGGAAGAAGGAAGGAAGAGGGCTTCGCTGCTCCAAGCTGTCTCTAGGGGCCCTAAGAAGAACGATAGACACGATGGTATCTCACCGACTGACCGGCCAATTGTTATAGGGTTCTCAGTGCCCTATGACTCCCCGGACGTCCACGATGAGAAATCAAAGGAGCTTGATAGTGCAGGTACACTACATACTCCGCTTACACCGTCAATTATAGTCACCCCTGCCAAAGAAGATGGCTTCTGGGAGCAGCACCTCAGCCCAGAGAGACCACGCCCAAGAGCGACATCCAGTGTTTACTCTCAGCCATCACCATATCCTTGGACCAATCAAGCCGACGTACCTCCCGTTCCAGCGCTTCCAGCGTTTTACTCTAGTGGTAATGATGGAGGTAATGCGTCGCCCACCGGCCCAGGGATATCAGTCGACTCTGTCCGGAAACGCCGTTCACTCTCTACGGGTGCGGTCAATGAGAAAAGTGAGGAAGATCAACCGGAAGGGCGCCCCCGATCCCAGTCAAACGAGAAGGTTCCTCGTCCCGCTGACCGACTCACTATCAACACATCCCTGAATGCTCGTGCGTCCCATGGGTGGTGGAACTATCTGCTTTCGCCTTTACTGAGCGCCAGTTCGCTTCTGAGTCCAAAAACACCAACAGTCAAGTCTCGCCCGAAGGTACCCACCATTTCGACCAGCTCAACAGGCTTGACGGATGAATGGTGGGACGAGAAGGAAAAATGGGAGGAATCGGAGAAGGAGAAGGAGAAAGAAGTATCACATTTCTCGCCAGATACACCAGAGGCTACGCGAAGGATATCCAGTTGGCGAACTGCGAGCATCAACCCCTTTGCTGATTTCGACTGGAGCATAGACGAGCAGTCCCAAGCGCCCAGGGGCCGGGATGCTGCGTCGATGATGTTTTCAGGCGAGAGAATTCGGGGCGAGGCCGCCGAGTACTACCAAGCGTGCGCCCATGAGCTGTTCAGCGGGACTCCCTATTTCGAATGTGTCAACCACGTCTGTTCCATTACCCCGAAAGACAAGATTCCTGTCGTTGATGCTAGCCCTACACAGCAAAATAAGGAAGGAGACCGAGGTCTCCTGATTAATGTGGACGATATGCCACGTTCAAATAGTCAGGAGTCCCCGGCTTCCGGGATTACGTCTATAAGTTCAAGTCCATCGGATAATGAGAACAGGATATCTAGGGATTTAAAAACATCGCTTGGTGCTTCACGAGCAGCCCCGAACGAGAGCCCATCAGAAATGCCAAAAGCTGGCTCTCCTGAGTCCCATGGAAACACCAGACAACTCGACTCACCAGGTCAAGGGCCTCCACCCACCAATCCTTTCCTCGAGCAATCAAGAGGATTCACTCCGCCTCCACAGAATGCTCCTTTTCAACCACCGCCACCTTCCAATGTTCATATTCAAAGTGCCCCCGCTCCAGCTCCGGCCAATATCCACATAGAAGCCCCGGCAGCTCAACCTGCTCCGAATATTCATTACCAAGCACCTCCGCCTCCACCTCCACCTATGGCGCTTGACGCTCCTGAGCCCTATGTGGCTTCCAGAGAGCCTGTGTCTTTCCGTGAGGCTTCGCCAGAGCCTCCTGCACGTTCAGTTACCCGTGCGGCTCCACCACCTCCCATTGCAATGCCTTCCCCGGAACAAACGCCTCCTCCAAACTACGGAGTGCAGCCCCACTCTCCTTACCCACGTTCTCCAGAAAGCCTCCAGGAGTCTACAGAGAGAGGTGCTGTTCGGCTTTCAAATATGCCCGTTGGGCCGGCACCGGCTTATACACCTCATGATAACTCAGCACTTCCTCCTCGTGTGAGAGCAGTCCCTATTACGCAAGACGTGCTAGGACACCCTGTGACAGAGAGGGACAGGATAGAAAACCGCCGACGACGATATGAAAGGGAAGATGCAGTCGGCAGGAGAGCCGGTGGGTGGTGGAGAGGCAGGGGTCCCTTCAGCAACAAAGGATGTTTTGGGCGAAAAGGCCGAGAAGGAAGATTGAGACGCCGGTGGTATTTCGCCATCTGTCTTTTCTTCGTTGCAATTGTGGTTGGCGCTATTCTTCTCGCTGTGCTCTTGACGAGAAAGGGAGATGGTACTCCGGTCCAGTCACAGTGGCTGAATTTGACCGGTTACCCGCCAATGCCAACAGGAATATCGACAATCGCCGGCCCCGAGGCGCAAACACAGGAGTCAGGATGCGTTGCCCCAACATCACTGTGGAGCTGCGCCTTACCGAAAGAGCAGCAAGCTTCCAATAATCCGTACAAAGCGAACCAGCCTAATTTCCGTATGGAAGTTAGATTCCAGAACGGAACGTACAACAGGAGTACAACAATCGCATCGCGGTCTCTTGAATTGCTCTCAAGGGGTGCCAATCAACTATACAACCCTAATCCCTCGCCGCCATCGACAGACGAACAAATATTCCTTGGAAAAACGACAGACAAAACCTCTGAGCCGTACAACGGCGAAGAAACGCCATTCTACATAACCATGCTCTCCGCAGAGCATCTAACCTCGTCCCCTTCTCAACTAGACAAACGAGACTCAAATTCATCCCATTTTCCTTCACTAGACGGCCTTATTCCGTCACCAGCCGTCGACTCAGATGGATCTGCTGCTCCTGCAGTCCTCTACCCATTCCCTTCATCTCAGCCCGTCCGCCTCTACAACCGCGGCAAAGACGACGAGCACTATGGCTTCTATACATACTACGATAAATCTATCTTCTCCTCTTCATCCACCCCTCTCACAGGACAAAAGGACGCCTCCGCAAACGACACAGCCGGGGGCTCAACCAAAGCCAACGCACGCGTCCGCTGCACATGGGCTCAAACCCGCTTCTTGGTTCAGATC